AACGGTTCTAAAGCTTCTGGTTTTGATTTCGAGGGAGTCGGAGTGAAAATTTTGGCTTACGCCGATGACATGTATCGGTGGCTGATTCCGTGACGAACCTACAGAGGATAATTAATTAATGTTTTGGAGATATTTGTTTCTAACGCGGCACTGGAAGTTAATTCGGTTTAAATCGAAAATTGTGGTGTTTAGGAAAGGAGATGCGGGTTCTGTTAAAGAAAAGTAGTTTTATAGAGGAGGTAACATCGAAGCGGTCCGAGAATTTAAATATTTAAGTGTGTTATTTTGTTCAAATCTCCCATTTGAACAAAATAATACAACCAAATATTTAAATTCTCGTTCTTCCTCATTATGTCAAATATCTCGACCTAACGAGGAAGAAAGCAGAATTTCTGTCGTTTAAGATTATCCAAATATTTAATTACCGAACATTTAATTGTAAAATATACTATATACCAGCTTATTGTGTTATTAAATGTTCTAGTTATAGCTTTCTACACTTTTATTTTATTGCTAATCGGAGATATTGAACCCAATCACGGTCTAATGTCTCGAACTCCACTTTCCTCATTTCTCCCGAAGTCTTCTACGTCCAGTAAGTGTCGGCGGTCTCCCAGTGAACCCGCGCTAAAATCTCAACGTCGAAACCATTATGTCAATTCCTCTAAATCTTGCTATGTTTTTAGAAAAACGTTTTGACATGGTTATATCGGAATTTTTTCTCTCTCTCTCTTTCCGCCCTGTGGGCACTAAGAGGGCCTCCTTTTGCGAGCCCATTATGGGTTCGGCCAGGCCCACAATGGGGCTGCCGGGTGGTGAGGGACGGAGCCCGACATATCCGAACGGACCACCCCCGAAAAATTCCTGGGGATTTTGTTTATATCGGAATTAGACGAATTATGGACCTTCGACCAATATGCACGAGGAAGGCGAGGAACGTTTAACTGCCGTCGAAAAGAAAGCGGAAGAATTAAAGTCGACTTTTCTCTTCTTTTGTATTTTTTGGACTCCTCTAGTAATAGTGCCAAAAAGAAACATATAGCGCTATCCTGTTTTCGGTACGATGAATTTGATATTTTGATCTGTACTCTGGAATCGCTGCGATCGATTAACCCTTTCCTTCTCCCTCGCCGAGTGGAAAATTTCAAAAAATCCCTTCTTGGTGTACATTCTCGTGACGTACCCAGTGTACCAAATTTCAACTTTCCCTATCCAGATAATCACTTATCATTGGCACATTCGATGCAGTTAATAACAAATTTTACTGTTTTAATTGCGTTATTCATATCAATTTAATAGTTTAAATATGAAATATTGCATATTAACTTTTTAGCTACTGTATTATTACATTATATTTTATATTACGCAAGTATTAAAGGGGCATTCGGAAAGAGTCGGAGGGTATTCGCATCCTCTGTTCCTTTCTAAATACACGAGGACATATTTGTCTGAATAGAAATGTATACCTATGAGTGTATATAGCATAAATCGTGTGTATAATCAGTTTAGATCTATTTACAATAAACGTTTCCACCCCACGAGCTGTACTATATTATAATATATTATCGCTATATTATTATATTAAAAATACAGTATATAAATAAAAATATATATTCATAATTACATTCATTTGACGCTGCATTCCCTTTTGAAGCTATTTCCTATGCCAAACGTCGAATAAATATCAATGTGCCGATTGCGTCATTTTTATCTGTGACGACATTTATATAGAAATATACGAAAGGAAATTTTATTCTTCCTTTCGGTATTTTCCATTTCTACGGTTACGTACGGTACAATTTTTAACTTATCCCAAATAAATCTTCGTGGCCGTTATTGGAGGTTCGAGTGTATTAGAAATATACCAGTCGACCCCCCTATAACACTGTTGATAATTCCGTTTTATATGAATTCCATGCTGTACGAGTCACTTAGATTTTACAAATACGTGTGCCGGGCTGTGAACGGCTCACAAATTTGTAAAATCTAAGTGACTCGTACAACATGGAATTCATATGAAACGGAATTATCAACAGTGTTATAGGGGGTCGACTTGTATTTGCAATTTGCTCTTATTTCGAGTGATGATGATAAATTTTAATTCTATCAGATTGAAACGCAATAAAACCTCGATTTAACGGACTAATTCGGGCGAGGAAGCGTCTTTTAAAGTCGAAAGTCCGATAAATAATAAAATAGGTTTTCCCAAAGCGCTTGTTAAAAAATTGATAAATTAGTTTATCTGTTTTACTAGTGTTCATTTTTACTTATGACATACGAACCAGAGATTTTGTTCGTTAAACCGAGGTTTCACTGTATTATTAATTTAAAATTTCACGCGCCCAACGACATAAACAATTTGTCAATTGTTTATGTCGCGGTACAGTTCTTCTGTCTATACACGCGCAGCGACAGATAATATGAAATTTTTTTATACGAGTGTGCGTCGGGGCTGTGTTCTTAGCCTGTAGCTTTTTAAATTTATTTAAATAATTTTATTAGGCGAGTTAACGGTTCTAAAGCTTCTGGTTTTGATTTCGAGGGAGTCGGAGTGAAAATTTTGGCTTACGCCGATGACATGTATCGGTGGCTGATTCCGTGACGNGCCGATCAATCCTCTCGCGACAGTAAAAATGTGACGTCAGCGCGACAAATACATTCGCGAAACTTCTCTAACAATTTTTCGTAACTTTTTGCTACATCACCTGCCATCTGCCGACAAGATTTTAATTCATTTTCCTTTATTAGAGATAAATGCGGGATTATATCAGACCCAGACCCTTATAAGAACTGAAGGATTACGAATTTAAATATTAAATAATAATAAACTTTTAACGACTGAAGTCGTTATTTTAAAGTAAAAACAATTACAAAATACATACATTTTTATTTATCTACAATAATTCACCCAGAGAAAAGTTTCGCATTAAACAAACACGCATTGGCTAAAATGCAATAAATAAAAATATAACGTAAAATGGGTAAAATCCAGTAAGGAATCTGATACAATAAAACAACTTTATGTACGTTATAATAATTTGTCTATTTTTAATGGTCATAAATCGTGATAGCTGTTTACGATAACGAGAACTATTATCGGCACGGTTAACTATGGTGTCACTGTCGTCCTTTGATACGATAAGACGTTATCTCGGTCGACTAATCGATACAACTATTTGGAATCATTGTCCCGCTATCAACTGTTATCGAAGCCGGACTTACATCTAGATAAATCGGGCAATTACCTACGATCACGCTACCTCATTTGTAAATTTAGAAATAAATAAAAATTTTAAGCGTATTGTTAACAGTTTGAACAAAAAACATTGGCTTTTTCTCCGCGATATAGTGATAAACAAAACAAATGACATTATTAATATGTTTGAGAGGCTCCGATAACAATTTGGCACGTGGCCCGAAATTTTCTTAATTAATAACGCACTATTATTCATCGTCGTTACCACCTCGTATACTGCTTTAATCCAGTAGAAACACCCAGATTTTTCAATGGAGTTTAGATTATAGTAATTCCAGGTAATTAGTAGAACCTGGTTAAAATAATGTTAATTTAAAGAGGACAAACTCGTCGGGAACGAGAACGCGGTTTTAATCGGTCCCAGTTCAATAAGGATCGTATACGAAGTTTAACGTCTCACAATCGGACGATTGAATTCTATGCGCAGAACGTCTGCCGCAGCCTTTTTTTTCCTGGCTAACGATAATGTGATGAACCAAAACAGTCTTTTATTGCGCCTAATCGAGGAAACACATTGTATATAACGCCGTAAAGCTTATAGATACAAAATATTCACAACAGATTAATAATTACATACACTAATTAAAACCAATCGTCGATTGGATATTTACGACATTGTCACAATACCCAAACCCCACCAAAGACAGATTTACACGATTATTTAATTAAAAAACACACAAATATAATTAAAGTTTGGTTACTGTTGGAGGCAAGTGTTGCCTCAAAATCTTGTATGTACGGGCCATTCCTACAATATGTTCAATATATGTTCTTTTACTAGATATTTTTCTGTCTCAAGATAACAAAGTGCTGTTCATTCATGCTTTTCTTCTCATAAAAGTAGGTGTATTTAATACTAAATCTTTAGAAATTAGCAAGTCAATATTAAAATCTCTATCAGCCATTAGTCTTTTGCCTTTGTTATTTTACATAGTGAAGATCTTTCTACAACCTGTTGATTGCTTACAGAACCATCATATGCTTCTGAAACAAAACTTATTAAACCACCTGGTGTACAACCTATAGCTGCTTTTTTAATGTGACATTTTCATATGATGACCATGTAGTTTGCTGTGCAACAGAATTTTTTGGTTTGCTTATTTTGCATTCTAGAGAATCAATAACAACTCTAGTAGTTGGAAATTTTGTTTTAAAATTACTAGGCATGTATGTGTCAACAAGAGATCTTGCTCCATATATCAAATTTTTGCCATTGTAAACACATGAAATTGAATGAAGTGATAAAAATATTTTGTAATGTTTTTTCAGATAAACTGAACATCCTAATCAACTCAAAATTTGCTGAATTCACTCTTAATTATATTAAAGTCAAGAACAACTTGTTTGGCACTGAGTGTGTTACTTCCTGAAACTTGTAATATTTTAAGCTGTATGCTGCTAGTCCCAAACATATATGAAAACATATAAAGTAAGATTGTATGTAATGAAGGACAACTGTGCAAATTTTTTACAGTAAAAATTGAAAGTGAAATATAAAGGGATTACATGATCTCTACAAATTGATAATGATAACTAGTGATAAAATAATTTAAAATCAATATTTTTCACACTTTTTTAGTGATAGCTTTATTCAGAATAGGAACAAACAAATGTTTTCATTTTATTTTGTAAATCTGCTTCAGGTTTATCTTTCGAAACAGTTTTGAAATTCTACAAAGGAATGTTTATACATGCTCCATAATGTTAGTATGTAAAATTTCAAACATTTTAAATTTTAAACATTAATATTATGAAATACATGTAAACATTCCTTTGTAGAATTTGAAAGCTGAACCTGAAGCAGGTTTATAAAATGAAGTGAAACCATTTGTTTTTTCATATTCTGAATAAACCTATTGCTGGAAAAGTGTGATAAGTATTGGTTTGGGGTTTTTTCCAACTTTTTGTTTTTATATGATAAAATAATTGTAAAATATTTAAAAAGATAATTTTAATTTATAGAACTTTTTGATAATTCAGAAAAAATTGCTGTGATAAGGAAAATTAATTTTTTTAATATCTTTTGTCCAATTTTAATAATTTTTGAATATACTTTGAGTGTTAATAATTTGACACACAATTTATTTTAAATTTCTTTTTTAGTTTATTAAAAAATAGCTTAGTATTTTATATTTAAATTGCTTTATAGAAAATATGAAGAAATATATCCTCCTGATATTGGAGAATTTGTTTATATAACTGATGACACTTATACCAAAAAACAAGTCTTACGGATGGAGCATTTAATTCTTAAAGTATTGTCATTTGATTTAGCAGTACCAACAGCTTCATATTTTCTTCATTTATTTTGTTGTATTGGAAATATTCCACAAATTACAGAACATTTAGCTCAAGTAAGAATTGAAATTTTAATTTTTATTTAATTTATAATTTTAATTAATTAAATTTTGTATTATATCATGATAAAATTTCAAAAATATTTTATTTATTTAATTATTGTTTTATTTTTGTAAAATCTAATGTTTAAAATGAAATACTGATTATAGTTTAAACAAAACTTTTTAATTTTTTTAAAGTCTGTATATTATTACTGTTTCTCATATTAGTTTCTAAAACTTGTTGTCCAAGCTTATTGTCATATGTTGTTATTTGCTATAACATGTGAAGAAATCTATAATGTATTCACACTATGCCATTTCTTAAAGAAAGCATTTTTCAAATGGGATGATCATTTTTGATATTGATATCAAAAAGGTATGACTTTTTTAAACATAAATCACGGATAAATGCATTTGATATGACTTAAGCAAAATTTATACATTAAAACCAGAAATGTAGTCAGATAAATCAAGCATAAAATAAGTTTATTACCAAATTCTATTTATTTCATTTTGATTCAGTTTTTCATATTTTATAAATTGTCATTTTCGGTTTTTTTAATCATTTGTGCATTAACTCATGAATTTAAGCTGTCAAGATATTTTTATTTAGAAGATGTTAAATGTTTTGGTTTCAGTTATAAAAAGCCATGGTTTCTCAATTACTGCTAAGTTTGTCAAAAATTTTTTAAAAATTTCTTGACATTTATATTTGAATTCTTCATATATAGTTTTATATATAATATAAATGAATACACAAAAAAAGTCTACAAAAAGTTGATATCAGTTGTAGATTGTTTATAGAAAATGAATACATAGAATGGTGCTCAAAAAAAATTTTCATTACTCTCATTTCCATGACTTTGATGGAGGAAAAGGGCAGTTAAACATTTAAAGTGCAGATCAATGAAAGAGGAGGGTAATGCAGTAATGTACAAAATTATTTATATAGGAATGTCTATTTGTGAAGTTTTCTAAGAAATATCTAACTTAATGCAAAAAATACTGCATGATAAACTGGCAATGAACAGAAGCATATACAGCAGTAAATTTCATTGATATATGTGTGCAAGAAATGTGTTTTCCTGATATTCAGAGGTGTACATTATAATAATTTTGCCACTCTAATATTTTGTTGTTCCACCTTTTGCTTTA